CAGTATGACGGTTACGACGTCGCAATTGTTGTGCTTAGGTAGGTATCGAAACAAAAAAACAGCATGCCGATATATTTTACTCGTATATTATTATTATCAATGTTGCATAAATAGCTGTCATTTGACTTGTGTGTAACGAAACGTTAAACGGTAAAAACGAATATACCGATTAATTTGACGAGTTTTTTTTTTTTTTTTTTGATTTATAGATCGTGATAGAGATATAGACTTGCCTGGCGACGATGCGATCGTGGACGTTATACCGCCGTTCAAAGACAACAAGGATACGGTGGAAATGACAATCGGTGTCGGGATGGAATTCTCGATTCCGGCGACTGCGTACGAGTTACCGGGTGAGGTATCGTTTTGTAACACGGCGCGTACCTACCTATGCCCGTATTCGACTTTAAAGGGGGGACGGGGAGCGAGCGCAGGAATATGGTGCTCCGTTTGTTATTTTCCTTTCGTTCTGTCAACTTCCTTGTACTGATTATTTCTATTAAGGACGGAGGGTCGGCTCTTTTTGTAAATAATGTGATTTTCAAAAACAAACAAACGTGTACTATCATCGAATTATTCGATATTGTCAATACATATTTGCATGGTTAAACGTTGTAATGTTGCTTAATAGTACGAGTAAAACAACTTAACAGTAGATGCAAAAACGTGGACTGAAGTAACTATTATAAGTTGTGATTTTTTTTTTTAGAAATTATTCGTTGAACAAAGTTGAGAAAAGTTGTATAAAGAGGTACGGGGGGACCCCTATGGGTTGGATTGAGTTCGATAATCGCGACAGACGCTAATTATTTTTTTTAAGGTTCGCCATCCTTATTTTTTTTTCTGTTTTTATAATTCGAGCGCCGAGTCTTATATCTCAACTACGACTAGAAAAACAATCAAATCACTTTTATGCATTGCAAACACTATTATCGACTAACGTTTTGCTTATATATTATATTTTCTATACAATTCTGGTGCATGCGTGCAGATGAAGTAATACAGCCGAAAATAAAGAAGAACCAAGTCGGGAATTCAATTGGAAACCATCAAGGGAACAAAGTAGGAAACGATTACAAGAAGGAAAGCTTCGATCTGGATAGTTTAAAGTAATAAGACACAGATAATATACGTATTGTCGCTGTCGTGTAAAAAAAATGTCCTAACGGGATTTTAGCTTAGGACACTTATTTCAAATTTTCGAAGTTTTTAAACAACTTCGTAAATCAACCATAACAATAAATACATATATTATTATTTTCGGGATAAATATTAAATATTAACCGTGATTTTAGCTTTGTCAGTAAATACCAATTTGATATATACGATGATTGTATACAAAATCGCAAACTCATTAAAATTTCTAAATTCTCGCCTTTGAAAACAAAGAAGTTAATATGTTACTTTTAAACCATTCAATATTCTGTTTGAAAATAATTGGAAAAAAATTTTTTAAAAAATAAATATTGACACTTAATTTAAATACAACAACAACAATAACCTATGACAGTAAGTAAATATTTTGGATTTTTAATTGGTCGTTTTTTCAATACTATAATAATATAGTGACTGTATTGTACCATAATAACTGTATTCGGTCACTATTGACAATTGCAGGTCACCTTTTACATAACGACGACAGTAATAGGTAATATATGTGTTTATATTTTTGGTTGATTTGCGAATTTATTCAAAAACTTCGAAAATTTAATTTTTTTATAGATATTATTAACCAGTTACGTAAATACGGGGGGAGATTTGGGAGATGTATAAGCTCCTGGAAATTTTTTTAGTATCTATATTTTATATAACCAATAATTTTTAAAGTTTAATTCCTTTACTTTTTAATTCGAAAAATCAACAAATCAGAGGCGTCATTTAAATTTGTTTTATTCATAAATATGGTGCCAAAATATTTGCAGGCCATTTCAAATCATTACCAGACTACAATCTTATAGATTGTATAATCTTATAGAAGCCGTACTTATAGATAAAATTAAAATTAAAAATATTATTTTTTATGTTTTTGCAACTGGAAAATCTTTCTGGAAAAGCAGGAAATTGTTAACATTTTAGATTCCGAGTGTAGCGAGGGAGGTAGTGGTTTTACTAAGATGTTTATTTTTTTGTTTTTTTTTTTTCTAGTGAACTTGCTCCAATGTCTAGATTGTATTTTGAAACTGTTATTTTTTTGATAAAAAGCACTGTGGGAAAAAACGTAGGAAAACATATAATTTTACGATTGTATTATTTTATACGAACGTCGCAACGTTTTCTACTACCAGAAAAAAGATTCAATCGAAAAATCACAAAATATCTTTTGTATTGGTTTTTTGATTTACTTTTTGACGGTATCATTGCTAAAAAAAGTTTAGCAATCTTTGATCTTTGAAAGAATTTTAGTTTTTGGGAGTTTTTTTGCTGTAATTCGGTTATAAATACACGTAGAGACTTGAAACATGATAATAATACTTGTATTGGATTTACCTAGACGTGATAAAATTTCCAAAATCATAGGATGACTTTTTTATTTTTAATAAGCGTATGTATTGCCGAACTGCGCTCTGAATCGTCTTTCATCAACCAATGGTTTATTGTTGCTTACAAATATAAATGAAATAATCTTATGTATCCTACCTCCCCAACTTCTCACCTACAACAGTAGCCGCTCCCAATCTTTTAAATATCTTTAAGTATCTTTTTATCTTTTTATCCTAAGTATCTTTTTAATATTGCATTATTGACCGGACTGGCAATTTATGCGCTCATTCTTATAGAATAAATAATATTATCATTTTTTTTATCATTTTTCTTTTGGTTGTCAGTCAATTATAATATTGTCAGACCACATTGAACATTTTTTTGATATAAAACGTATTGACACAATATATGTTGGTTTTTTTTTATACTAATTCAATATATGATATAAAACACTCAGGTACGTCGACGCTTATATTTTATTTTTGGCGTTTTAAAAAAAATTGGTGCGTAATGCACACCCTGCATCTTCCCCTCAAGTGACTTTCATGCAACAAATTTACATGTTGATACCTATAGTCAATATATCAACAAAAAAACCTAAACGTTTACATTTCCTTGTTTAAAACGAAACCTATATTCAAACCACTATTATAATATTATGAAGTAGATTAGATTAGTACTCAAAACATATATATATATTATACAATTTTCAAATTCAATATCTCCCTACTTAACAAAATCCTAAATACGTAACTGGTATTGAAAAATGAAAATCAATAACTACATTAACTACCAAATCGTTTTTAAAATCTTTTCTATTTTCATTTCGGAGCACGAAAAATAAAAAAAATCAAACCTTTAAAATAACATTGGAGAGGTGGTTGATATTTTGTTATAATTTATTTTTGTTTTTTTTTTTTTTTCAGATGCTAGCAAATAATTAACTCGGCTGTTAGAATCGCTTCGGCCGGCTACTCATCACGCTGTTTAGGAAAACAGCTCACTTTCTCTTTTTTTTTCCTAATTAAAACAATGAGCAAACACTGATAAAAAAAAAAAAAAAAAAAAAAAAAAAAAAATAAAATATATATATTTCGTGTGTGTGTATTGTATAATATAATATCATATCATATCGAGTATAATATAACATTATATTATACAGGGATGGATACATAAAAGCAACACGAGGTCGAGCCGAAACGAAAATAAACATATACGTATGCATGTCTACCGAGTAGATATTGTAATAAATTATTGTTGTGTAATATTATTAATTTTTATCATTATTATTAATATTATAATATATTATCAATAAATATTATTATTATTATTTATTTTTTTTTTTTTTACAAATAAATTCGTTTGTTATGTACATTAATAATAATAATTTACTTTCCTTGAAATATAAGTATATATTATTCGTCCGCGAACAAAAAA